CGGGAAGACGCAGTAATAAAAACAAAAATACGCTTTTGAAAACACTTTGGAACTGTATTTTTGCTTGGTTAAAAACACTAATAAATCCCGGAATGTTTGCATCAAATGAATATCCAGATCACGTTTGGTTAGCATGAGGAACATCACAGTTGAAAATAGCAACAGTTTATTACCCCAATTTCCGTAGGAATTGTTAATAATGGACCCTAAATAAAACAACAAAATTAAACACATCATAACCACGTTGAAATTTAAATTACAATCGCTATTCAGGGTGCATTTATTGTCCCGATATTGACCACAACGCACGATAAAATCACGTTATTGACATTTTATGATTTCCACCGGAAAATAAATATGTTATTATTATGGCTTTTTTTTCATTTCCAATTAAAGTCGAACGGTAGTCGGGAAAATTTATTGTATTTTGTAAATGATTACCGCCATTAGGGTTTATGATCAATCGTTTTCGGAGTACTTATTAATTAGTCATTTTATTCTGGAAAATAGCAGCTAAAAATGAACAGTTTTTGTGAATTGTTTGTACATTTTTTGGCTACAACTGTTTTTACCCAAGATTTGCATTAAAATTTCAAAACTGTTTTTAAAAGCATCGCATGGAGTTTTCCGGGCTTATAACCAATGGAATCGTTCCGAGACGCTAGTTTGCTCACATCGCGAACATTGTTAAAGTTATCAACCAATACTTTAACCGGGGGTGAGAGCCTTAATAGTCTGAGTTCTAGTAAGCGCAAAAAATGTAAATGTTCAGACAAATTTTAAAAAATCCCACAAACAGCAAATTAATTACAGCAATGTCCGGATTATTCATTTTATTCATTTATTGGCCAAGCCACATTGCAACGTGAAACATTTAAGTTTCCTAATTGCTAATTAATCCAACAAACAAGCAGTTACACATGATTGATTGGAAGTCGACATTCAACCCGATGGTCTGAATGTTGTAAATCATTGGACTGGCATTTAAGTTCATGTCTGAACGTTTTCAAATTCGGTTCTATTAGAGCTGAGTTTGATTCAGTTGAGTACAAAAATACCACCACACAATGTTTAGGTCAGTTGATTTTTTTAACGTTCCTGAAAGTTCTTCTTCCAGTGTTAAAAAAGGTAATATTTTTATTGAAACAGCTGAGTTTTTCGGGCTTTTACTCCGCCCTGGAAAATAAGTTCTTCCTGATGTTTCGCAAGCACGAGCAACTTGCATCTTCAGAGGTGGTTTGCTTGGCTCAGCAAATATCTCACCAGTTTCAAAAAAGATGCGGCTCAAGAAGAGACTAGACAGTTTCAAGCAATGTCCGCGAACGCTTAACATTTCCCTTATTTATTCTTCACCTTATCTGAGATGTCTTCCCATCAGTTCATTAGTTTAATTTTTTAATTAAATGAGTTAAAATTCACTGATTAAACAGTTATGTCGGTATTACTTTGCTTCTTTTACATTGCCAAAAAACTTTCCTTTATGCCCGAGTAGACGATTTGGTCCTAGCCGGAATATTTTTAATTAACACTGCTTATTTTATGAAAACATCGATTTTTTTGTAGGAAACCGTTTGTGATATATTATTGATCAGTTTATTTATAGAAAGGTAAAAATTAGGCCAAATTAAATACAATTAGGAAAATGGCAGTATCCTCAAATAGTCATAGAATAACATTGAAAACTGGCAACCGAAAAGACAATTTTTCAAACACATTATATCTTTTCTAAAGGCTGTAAGCGTCTGTCATTTGTCCAGTTTAAACTCTAATTTAAATATAATTCTAGGTAAAATTCATTATATTTTACACCGATTTTGGAAAACATATTTTCAACAAGCAAACGGAAAACTCATCTTAATTAACATTGTTAAGCACTCCCGAGATACGTTGATTGTTTGTCTAGTTTCAAACAAACAATATCGACCATTAAATGGCATTTTCTCAACTGTACATTTGAAATTGCCTTACGCCTGATTGGTTCCCTACAGAAAACACAGGCCGTATTTATTTTATCCACTCAGTTTTATTATTGTTTTCCTGCTTTGGCAGTTTCCTAAACAACCGAAGCTATTTCTTCGAGTATCAAAGAATAGTAAAATTTTCATAACAAATGTTTCGGTATTCCGCGGGGATCGTTTGACAAAATTGTCACACTAGAACGATGCATGTTTCGCATTTATTTGGCCAATAAAAGAATGCATATTCGCCGAGCTATTTGAACACGAAGGTGTATCAAACCGCAATAAAACACTCCTATACACCATATAACTTTTCTCATTCGGTTGCGGTAAAAAGGACAACATAAGGCGAACTGTGATTGATGTGGTTGTTTTGAACGTAATGTTTTGATTAAGCCGCATGCACTTAACGAGCTGATACTATCAACGTGACAAGTTTCAAAATATTACACCAATCAGGGAGCAATATTTCTTCATTTAATTCATAAACTCACCATAACAACCAATTAGAGACTTGTTTAGAAGCGTTTTAAACAGCAACTGAAAAAACCACTAAACTGGCAACGCAAATTAACGCTTCAATCTCCAGTAGCGAATGACTGAAGTTGCACCTGCAAATTAAGCCAACTGCTGCTTTTCCGCTCAAAAGAAAAGATAACTTAGTCGGCTAAAAAACACATTTTGCTAAATCCTCAAACAGCTGCTAGTTCCAGTACAATCCTAATCAATATTTGATTGAAATCGGCTCAGTTTCAGTAGGAGGTAAATTTATTACACTCACCTCATCGGCTTGAACAGCGCCTGCAAATCATTCGGGTAATCAATGACCAGCTTCAGCTGCGTTCCTCCGGATTTCTGAGCTGAAACAGATCAAACAAGTTTGGAAAAAGTTCAGGGAAACTCCGTTTAATGTTATTTCGCGTTTAATTTACATTTTTTCTTTTACATAATTTCTTCTCGACTAAACGTCGGTAAAGTGCGAGATATTTACAAGACTCGAGCTGAGTCTGGATTTCTTATCACATTCAAGCGCAAAAATATTTAAAAAATTGATGCTGTTCAAACACTTGCCAGAAAACCGAGAGCAATTTCAATAAACAGCTAACGCATGCAAAAAAATGGCATCAATCTGCATTAAATACCCATCAATTTTTGCTATAAAAATATCATAAAAATTGCGACATAATTTTCATATTAAGAACCGCGCTATATTCAATGCTTTTCAATTTTATCCACCGTCAGCCATGTGAGTCAACCTCCCTTCGTTATTACTTTCTACCGAAAAAATCCCTGATTCCCACGCAAACAAAACCTCCCGTTATTCCATCTGGATTCGCTGTTCTTTCGCTTTTAATTTTATGAGACGTTGCGTTTTTCAAATTTTCAGCCTGATGGCCACCAGAAGGGTCTCTTGTGCAAGACGATGAACATTTTTGCATATCGTTCCACTCTACAGTGATTGTAATTGTATTGAAGTACAACCTGTTTTAGATAATACTGGGCAAATTTCAAATGCCGAAAAATCAGGTAAATTGGATTGCAAATCGAAAATCAATCAATGGATAAAAATCAGTAATTGCCACTGTGATACGTAGCGAAGTCACTCAATATGAGCCTTTGAATAACGATCGCAAAAACGTTAATTTGTTTTTCTTCAAACCTAACGAACCGGAGTTCGGGCGATACCAATAAAAGAAAAACTCAGACAATTTTATTGCGGTGTTTCGCCGGAAACTCGCACAAAGCAAGACAAAAATATTATTCGTTTAGCTCAATCCAGTGCTAAAAAGCGTATTCCATACAACACAAAGCGCGAATTCTTGCTTTCCATTTATCATTTAACCGTTTTATCTGCTTTTGGCAAAACAAATTGGTAGCCCATCTAGTCAGTGATTTGCATACGGAATTGTAAATGAAATTTCCTTTGAACTTGAGAAATGCCTCAATCTTGGAATATTTCAGCTACATCGAATACCATTCATATAAAGTGAAGCTATCGCCAATTGTACAAACAAGCAGACATAGAATCATTTAAAGTGTGCAACTTTAGTCGATTTGTGCGTGTTCTTTTAATTTTATTGCCAAATAAGTGTGTATTTTGCAGTAACCCCAGCTAATAAATTAAAACTGCTCATAAAGATTAAGCACGTGCTTTCAGCTTTTAAATGTTTTGTTAAGCTCGAGGGGCAGATTTCTCACGGAAATTTTCAAAGTGGTTAGAGTGTTTTAAAGACATTGACGCTCCAAGAAAAGGAAATTTGGAATTTATATACAGTGTGGCTCAAAAACTGGACAAACATTAATATCTATTTATTTGGAATTAGTTGGTAAAAAAACGAAAGATTAGTGGAAATGAAACCGCCGGCAAAGTATCTACAATAAGAAATTTCACTCGCGTGTTTCGCCTGATAACGAATTCAATTTGCCATTTTCAAAGCAGCTTTAAAAGTTTCAACCGTCTTGAATTTTATCGAAGCTTAACTTTATGATGAATGCGAATTTTGAACCCGCAGTATCGCGAAACAGCAGCAAACTTAGTTTCAAATGACTTTTCTTGTAATTCTCACTTAACGCCATTTTTGCCTATTCTGAAGTGCTCCAGTCAAAAGGGTGTTGGGGGTGCAAAATACTTCATTGGCCCAAATTTCGAACTTTCGCCGAATACACGCTTTGAAGAAGGAACGCGAAATGAAACAAAGCATCGAACATAATGATGCAATTAAAAACCAATATCGAAGACGTCCCGCATACCATTTAGCACCATAAATCTAATTTAAATTAAACCTTTCTGATTTTCCATTAACTAAATAAAATAAAATTACATTTGCGGGCGTGTATTCACACCCGCATTCACTGTGTAATAACAAAAGTTATGCCGCTGGATCATCAATCAAAAAAACGTCACGTACCACAGTGAAAAATTATTTTTAACGACCAGGAATTATTTGTAAAGCCGATCAAGAAATATCGAAAGCTTTGCAGCTCGACGCCTGTTATATAATTCATCAAATTCACACTAAAAGTAAATTGTGACCCTGTTTTAGGTAGCGATCGATTAATGATTTTTGTAGGCCGCTTCAACTAGCACAAAATAGATTTAAATCGGATCAAACGAGGGAAAAGTTTCCATCAATTGGTAAATATTTGTTTATTTATTACAGGATATTACATGTTTATCGTTTAGCGACAGCAGCGTCTACAGGGGAGTTAATAACGCGCAAAGTTTCTGTATGTTCCTATGCAAAATAATAGGCAGAATTGTGGTTGGGGAATTTTTGCGCAAAGAAACATTAATTTTTACAGCCTATAGATGACAAAAAAAACTTCCATTGGTTCGGCAGGTGCAGAGAAAGAAGGATAACCTGAATCCCAAGAAAAGTAGTTTCTTTTTGCGGATATATCAAGATGATCGTCAGTCCCTTAAGATTTATAATTGAAAAGCGCGACGCCGTCTATTCATCACAGACGCCCGTCGCAACGTCACGAGGGGATTAGATGAGTGCGAAGCGAATTCTATCGGCACGGCCTAAACGAGCTTTAATAAAGCTTCCATCGTCCCGAAATTAAATCCCGGTTTTTAATTGCTGATAAATCGCAGAAATGCCCTAATTAGGAACAGTTTTCTAAAGCAAGCGCAACTTTATATCCGACCTCATGTTGGACGGGGAAGATTTTCTAACTTGCGCTTAAGACAGAAATCGAATTTATTTTTCCCTTTTCTCAACTAACATGTAAGCTAGATATTTATTTTAAAAGCGGTCTTAAAAGGCCGCAATTCCAAACTTTGAGGAATGAAATGTAGACAAGTCCACCAAAGCTCTTGGACTAAGCGCAAGAACAAAGATATCAAACATATTTTATAACTTTGTTGCTGATTTTACTGGAAAACTTACCAACATGCAGCACAGTTTCGGTTTGCATCTGCCTCAAAAGTTCATCAACCAGCGGACAATCTTTCGAGTAGAGCTCATGTTGGGATATTTGCATGTGGAACTTTTCCAATGTGGTTGCATTTTTCCTGAAACAAATTCACCGATTAGTGCCAGTCGGAAACTCGAAAAGTTAATTAAACCTGCGAAAAATCGCAAACATTTAGCTCAGTCCAAGCGATTTGTATTCGGACGCTCTAAATTTATTAACTTCTTGTCTCTAGTGGATCACGATTAATCGGACCATCTCCATCAAAGCCTGGACAGGCAGCAGACATTTCCAGTGTTTGAAGCCAAATCGTCCTGTTATCGGCTCGTTATGATTGATGATAAGTTTGTGTTTGCACGGTCTTAACTATTTCCATTTTTCACATTTTAATTAGTTAGAAATCATCCTTGGTGCAAATAAAATCGCTTGCATAAAACACTTTATCTGATATTTAATTTAGTTTTTATATAGTGTATTGAGAAAGTTGAGGAAATGCAGACTTTCTGACATTTTGCTCAGGCTTTTTTCAGTTGAAAATTAATTTTAAACAGTTTCTCAATTTATTTTCTGTTAATGCTTTTGGGCATTAACAGTTGAGATTTATTCCCGTTGCCAGTTTTGCTGTTTGCACGTTTGAAGAACTTGTTCTCTTGCCCTCATGTCCTCTACGATAAGCTTAACACTATTTTAAGACGTGAATGAGCCAAAATAAATGAATAATCCATTTACTATGTTAACTTACATACACAGCGGGTTTGGAAATTGGTGTCCAAAAATTTAATATGGACTTTCGAATGGAATTTGTCCTAAAATTTGCATATTTTTCTCATATAAAATTTAAAGGAAACATGCAAATAAGCAATGGTTTGTAAAGAAGTTGACTAGTAAATGGCTCATAGATAAAAGCATAACTAAGTTCAAAACGACCCAAATACAGAGTGGTCCTCAATTAATGTGACAAAATTAATATTTTTTACCTAAAAATATTGCTTTTAGTCAATTTAGTCTTGTCCGAAAGTTAATAGCTTCCAAGAGAAGATCTTCAAAGAGAAATTAAAATTTTCGGTTTTTTTTCTTAACCAATTTTTCTATTACTTAGCTTGCTAGAGCGCTGGCTGCAATACTCTGGAGCCATTTAAAACCTCAGAAAATTTTTGGATTTTCAGATTTACCTATTTTGTTGGCAATATCTCGTTCTTCGATATTTCCTGAGCAAAAATCTTTACTTCGTTCAAGTCGATATCTCTTCGCTTCCGCTATACAAAAAAAAATTCCGTTCCATTTGCGAGAATAAATGTATTGAAGTCAGACAAGTTCAGCTTGAACAATTATTATGCGATAACAACTTTCAAATATTTTCATGAGTTGTTCAAAGACTGGTTCAAAATTGTTCTGAGCGTGGCAAAATAAATACTGTTTGCGTTGTTAAGTATTATTTTGTAGATAAGTTCTATATTGTTGAGGCGGATTCTTTTTTTTAAACTACTTTTTTTGGGGTATTTCGCCTCAAAAATTTTTGTCTTTAAAAAA